TAATGGGTCTCTTACCTTAATAATCTTGTCAGTTTTTCAGGTGCGCATGCACTGACTGAGTGTTGGGCCTGGGAAAAACAAAACAAAATCAAAACAAAGCCTTAAGCCAAGCTTGGCGCTGAGAGTGGAATGCTTTGCAGAGGCAGTGGGGAAGCGTTGACGTCAGAACTAGGCTTGGCTGATCTGATTCTATGCCTTTGAAAAAGTACAATATTTCGTAAATCAAATGGCATAGCATGCAAATGCTTGGAGACCAACAACCCAACAAGAATACTTAAAAAGCTGCAACCCACAGAAAGGCACCGATTATTGTTTTGGCCAGCCATGCATGGCCCAATTGGCTTATTCATGCAAATTTACTGATAGAAAATCATCTATTCTGGGTAAAAAAGGAAGAAATCAAACATGAATTTCAAAAAGGGCAGCTCTAGAGGAAACCCCTTCAGCCTTAACTGCACTCGAATGCCTCAAAGTAGGTTTGGAATTCTAAARTCAAACCGAATTCCTGACACCCTAGCTCTTTCAGGCAAGTCCTGGACCAAGAGTGAAGAGTAAGTTCTGGGGGGGATGGGCATCCCAGCATAGTGACCTTCTTAAAAAACAGGTTAGATATAKATATATAGTCATTTACAGCCATTTGCAAAAATTATGGCAATTTCAAATATATATACRAGTATATCAAAAGTATATCAGACACGTTGGGATATCTTTCTTGATATTTTCCTCAGAAAGCCCTAGTGATAGACAACTCGAAAAAATATCAGGGATGATATCCCATAATTTCTGATATACTTTTGATATACTTGCGTATATATTGGAAGCGGCCATAATTTTTGCAAATGGCTATATATACCAAAAACCCAAAAAAATATTCGAGCACAGATTTAAACAGTGAACAAAAAAATCGTGCATGAGAAAAGTACCCCCCACCCCCCCAAAAAAAATCATGCGAGAAGCTTTATAATTATGATATTCTATAAATAAATATATGGCCAGAACATTTACAACAAATCTCAAGGTATACTCCTCATATATCTCTAACCTTTATCAATGAAAGCCAACTGTGAAGGGTGAATTGGAGCTTGTCCTCGTATATATTTCTTTTTCATTGCAATAATCGAGAATACAAAATATAATAAGATAAGATATGATAAATATAATATAGAACAACAGTAATTGATTACCTGGTCCCTTGATATACCAAGGTCAAACATACTAATAAAAGCAACAATAACATCTTGGTGGGATGACTGGATAGGAAAATTGTTTCATAATATTATTCTTGTATCCTTTCATAATATCCTTTTGACACCTTGCGTTCTCCTAAGAAAATAATGTATCATTTAAGGACACTTTGAACCGTTACTTGCCGTATAATTCAGAGATATTTCTCTTTTTGGTCAAAAAATCTAATGGTGCTTCCCTAAGCGTTTTTTTTTTTGAAAGTGGTCGTGATACCCGTCTATCATTCTTAAAATGTTCTGGGCTAAAATTTATCAATATAATTAAAAGCACAAATGGTCAATAGAATAATAACTGATTCTACGATTTCTCAGTTATTCAAGCAATTTCTTGTGAGCTTTAATGAATCATTTTTTTTCCGAACTCAGCATGTCTAAGGCATGGCTGATTGAGTAATATAGCAAAAAAATAAAGAAAAATTTATATAAAGATATCAAATGGGTGTATGCTGATGATTTTTGCCAAGATAATAGGTTTCGGTACTGGCTACAGTTTGAAAGTGTAATCATTTATTTTTAGTGATCACGTGACGAAATATTACCATATTTGTTGTGATAATCAACAATTGATTTTAAATGACTAGTCAAGTTGCAAAACTTTTAG